GCTCACACTGCTGTCCTGACTCTGGGCTGTACAGTCTGGACAGTAAACTGACTCCTGACTGCTGGGTCACTAGAGAGTTTGTGAAGAGCAAGGTTGTTAACATAGTGTCCTGGCTAAATTATACTCTGGTACTATACAACCTCCTTCATGTAAAGCTCCCCTTTAATTGGCAAATGTGAGCAATTTTCCCATTTTCTCTACAGCACAGGGCCCATGTGCAATCAGTTTAGATGTCATGCAGAGCTACGAACTCTGGGAAATGGAACATCCGGGACATGAGGATTTGGGATTTTGCAGGCGCCGGCGGGGAGTTTGAAACCTGGCACCTGTGGAACTGCAAGGCGGCATCTTACTGGAGGTGCAGACTCACAGGTTCTGGGTGCTGGCGAGGATGGTGCTCAGTTCGGACAGGATGCCAGCTTTAAGAGAGCGAGAATCGGCGCCCGTCTCTTCCATGACGTTCCGGTCGTGCGTTCAGCAGCCAGTCAGCCGGGATCTGGGAGAGCGAGGAAGGGGAGAGAGAGAGAGAGTGGATTGGAGGCACTAAACACCACCACCCCCGCAGCCTGGCCCGGAGCCCAGCCACACTGGTCCGAACGGATCTCTGGCCCGCCCTGCCCTCACGCCACAGACGGCTCTTTCAAAGCCCGATCTCCAGAGGGAGCTGCCTGCCCCCACAGAGTGGACTTCCTGCTGGACACAGAGGGTCCGCCTGGCACCACAGAGCACAGGGCAGTGAAAATAACTGCCTGTGCTCTCCTACTGCAGGACGACACATCCAGACCCCAAATTATCCTGAAACTAGGTTCCCCCTTCTCTCTCTCTCAACGCCAGGCTCGTTTCCTCCTAATCCTCTCTATTCTTCTGCAGGTTTCCACCTCACACCTCTCTCCACTACGCACCACCTGATCGCCCACTCGGCCCCCCCCTGCCCCCACCTCCTCTCCACTCCCGGATTTTGTCCTTCCCTGCTTTATCAACTGCCAGTTTTCCTCTCTCTCTCACACCCGAAGAAGGCTCCACAGCTGAAACGCTGTGTTTCTTTTTGTCTCTTTTCAGCGGGGAATAAGCCCGTTACCTTGGCAGCCTGCCCCTGCTGACGCAGCCCCCTACTCGAACCTCAGTAAAAAGAACTGTGCATCAGCCGGTCAACACAAACAACCCCACGGTCCCCGGTGATCCGACCTCCAGCGACATCAATACCCTTGGTCCTTGAGAGCACTGCGTGTTCACAGATAACGCGCGACGAAAGCGAATGACGAAAGGGAACGGGTGAGCAGGTTAGAGGATGAGGTTTAACCTGGATCACAGCCTCAAGCTAAACGAACCAACCAGGCCAATACGAACCAAAGGGTTTATTCCGTGGTCATTTTTAAAAATAAGTTTTTCTTTTCCTTAAAAAGAAAAGGAAGGAGACGCAACTTTTTGCATCACTGAGAGCTGGTGTGTGGGGAGCGTTCTGGCGCACTATGGCTACCGTCGCATCATCCAGGGGAGACTGCACACTGGTGGTGGTGGAGGGGATCCCCATTACCTGTAAAGTGCTTTGAGTGGAGTGTCCAGAAAAGCACTATATAAGTGTAAGCAATTATTATTATTATTAACTTTTTGGCTGTGGAGTCTTCTTCACACCTGAAGAAGGCTTCACAGGAGATTTTCAGCTTGGACTAAAACCTTTACTTGTTCTTGTGCAGCCTAAGCATGCTGACGCAGCTCCCTACTCGAACTTCTAAAGAGAAATATGCCACCCTCCAAAAAAAGAAATCACTTATCTGCGATCATCTGCATCAGGGCCCTAACAAAGTACCTGGCCGTTTGATGACTGAACTATCTGGCGCCCTCTAGTGAGCGTCCGTGTGTCCCAGCATAACGCATCGAACATAAAAAACAACAACAAATGAGTCAACAACGATCTGAAAACGCATGAACGTCAAAAACTCATCGCTTCGGTTTGCGATCTCCGAGATTTTTAAGTCTGACCTAGGGTTACCGTATTCCTAAAATAAAAAAACGAGGACACTCCGTGGATTGGGGGGAGGGGGGGTTGTATGTTTAAGAATCTACCAAATCTGGGATTTATATATTTCAACATTCACGCAAGACACAGGGGGGTGTCGGAGGAGATATCTGCACCAGTAGATATTTATACTGGTACTAGAGACCCTGGTGAAAAGGAAAAGGGGTCAAATTCCTCAGGGCCGAGATTTAAGAAGCAGAGGAGCAGGCCAGGAAAACCCGGACCTTAGTCTTGCGTGTTTCTGCACGGAGAACAAGCTACAAGACGCATTAGGAACTGAAATATCTTCGCCTTGTCTTCACTACCTTACAAATCCTTACAAACAAGGCGCCGGGAAACGATTGCTCTCCGTGTCTGAACACATTTAAAGGCACGACGCTCGGACATTTCGGCTGCTGTATCTGGCCCTGCATCCCTGTCCGTCTTCCGGGAGCTGCAGACATGCGCCCGAACCGTCGGATTCCGCTACAGTCGCCACAACCACGAACGCATGGACTGCGTTTGGGGTCGTAAAACAACCCCGGATCCCAAAAAGATCAGAGTTGTTATTTTCATAACAGAAACTCCCACCACCCCTCCATCTTACCTTTCTTCCCGCGAAGTCAGGTTATTCTCTGCGCTACTGCATGCCGGATAGTGTAGTCTTTCACTGACGTAGACCCTTATTGCCCACAATCGAAAAACTACAACTCCCAGTTTCCAAGAGCAAGCGGAAATCCTGTAGCAGGTGGGGTGGGGGCTGTGTTTGTGGTAAGTAGTTAATGAGCTTCACGCTGCTTAGGTTAATGTGAGTGCACGTCTGGCGATGGTGAATCTAGTGTTACAATTTACTTGTCCCGTGCATGATATTGTATTTTGTTGTGGTTATATAAAAATGTGTATTTTTATCCCTTTGCCTTTTCCAATTGCTACATGCGGATACAGGAGACCTAACTCTCAGGGGCCTCTAGGGGGCGGAAGGGACACGTTTATAAAAGCAGAACAGCTTGTTCCGATTCTAGATGGAGGTTAAACCTTTAAATAACTATTAAAAAAAAAAGTCATTGCTGAGAGATTTGTGTATTTATGTGAGTGTCAGGGTGTATTGTGAGCAATGAAGGGGGAAACGCTGAGATAATGTGCCAACGATGGAAAATATAACTTTTTAATTACCCCTCTGTTCCTACTGTATTCAGGATCCCCATCTACTGTCTCCTCTCACTGTGTGTTCTCGTTGTGCATATCTTGTTTTTTTT